CCCCTGCCCGCCACCTCCCCCGCGCCACCCGAACCCGAGCACCGCAAAGACGACACAGGCCAGTGTTTGGACAGATCGACTCCCACAGCCACCACACAAACTTTTCATCGTCAGAAAGGGGGCGTGTCTTTATAAGCGCCCCGATCGCCTTCCGCCGCTGGGCGAGCAGGCCCGTCGCGCGGAGAGCAAGACATTAGCGGCGCATGCAGGCGCACGCCGCGGCTGTTGACTCTCAACTTGGAGCACACCATCCGGCTCGTGGGTGCGGAGCCGAGCACTTGTTTGCGTCCCGGAGAGCAAACTCATCCGTTCTCGGTTCGTCATTGTCGCCCTTCTCCCTCGGCCCCGCGCGCCACCACCCCGGCGGACGCCCCAGCTGTTATCGCGCACCCCCCACTCCGACACACCTGCCACACTCCACCTAAATGCCACCGTAAATTTGCTGTCTTGTGCGTCCCTCCTCAACCACAGCAGTGCATCACCTCCCTCGAGTCGAGCGCGCAGATGAACAGGATAGCCCCCGCTCTTCGCCACGTCCTAAACCGTCTTTATCGGCCACAAAAAAATGAAAGTTCTTTTTATTTTATGATTTACGACATTAGCCTTTAATGTCATGTCCGGATAAGTCTGTCAGTGCCCTCCCACATCCTACATTATCTCTCTTTTCCTCTATATTTATCTCCCCCTCCCACGTCCCCTCCCTCCCTCTATATTTCTTTCTCTCTCTCTCTCTCTCTCTCTCTCTCTCCAAATTCTGCGAACCATGAATAAATGATATACGACTCGCTTCTTTTTCAGCGATGGTGCAATTTTCATCCACGACGGCGGCGATGGCAGACCCGATGTGTTTTCTTTTAGACGTCGCGCGAAACGAAGGAGACGGAAGGAGACAACTCGCGAATAACCGAATCCAAACTGTCGCCGACCTCCACAACAGGGCCAGTCCGCTCGGCGCTCGCCAGGGCGCGCCAGCAGCGCCCTACGCACTGCAGTGGGTGCAGGAGGCGGTGAGCAGGCCACCCCCTGGGCTCGGCTCACGCTGAGGCGCGCTGAGGCGCCGAGGTGCGCACGCACGGAGGTGTCGCCCACGACCGCTCCCTTTTATCGGGCCTATCCATCTCTGCCACACGCAGCCCGGCTGAACCGCGGCCCTCCACCGCAGTCGGAGCCGGAGGCCGCGGTACAGCCGGGCTGCTTCAGCCGCTTTAGGCAGGACAGCCGTCGCCAGTCGCTCCCGAGCACGGGTCATGTCAGGGGCAAACCCTCTGGACAAGGGGCGTATGCCTCAGGCCGTGGCCTCACGTTTTACGACTCACCGCGAGGTGTTGCCCGTGGGTGGAGGCGCTGCTCGGGGTTGTCCCGCTGCCGCACTCCGCCACACCTTGCGACGCGCTGCCGCCGGTCCCCCGCTCAGCTATAGGCCGGGCGGCCAGGCTTGGCAAGTTTGTTGCAGTCCGTGTGTGTTGGCCGCCGCCCTGGTCTGGTCCCGCTCATAGCCCCACAGCCGCAGGCGAGGGACGCCTGGCCAGGAGCGCCCTGCTCCTCATCAAGCTGCCCTGGCCGAGCCCCTGGCCGAGGCCCTGGCTGGAGCCTCATTTCCCCCCAGTCCCGTCGTGCTTCCGGCCAGGACCCCGGCCAGGACCCCGGCCAGCTGCGGCGGCGAGCTTAATGGGACCCGTCACTGAGACCCTCGAGGCTAATTAATTAAACGGGACGCCAAACCGATAGCAGGTGATACCCAATCGCAATCCAACACGAAAGTAGCGTCATGCCCGCGACCACCAGTTTACCAGTTTGCATCTCTACAGACACAACTCTAACAATCAGCACAGAACTATAGAACGCCGCGCCACGCCGCGCTGATCTGAAGCGGAGAACTGTGTGAGCTTTGGATCGAGTGCCTCAACTGCAAGTCATTTCGGAGCGTACGAGTTAACTGCGTTAGTATTGGAACGAGCGGACTGTTTGTTCAATATAGAAAACTATTTAAAAGTAATAAGAAGCTAATTGCAACTTCTTCCTATTAAAATCAATTAAGAAACAGAGTTAAGCAGCAAAAAAAGCTAAAAATATGAAAAAAGTCGAAATAACAAAAAGTTTGTAAAATAAAGAAACATATTTGTAAATGCACAAAATGTCAAAGTGAATTTAGAAATGATCATTTTAAAAGTGCACGAATACTTTTTGATTGAACAAAGCAGTCCGTAAAAGAAAATTACGAGTAAAAAAATTCTTGTTAATTTACAAAATATGTTTATTTTACAGTGCCCCAGTGTGAGGCTTGCGGATCGCACTTGAACAATCTCTGAACGCAGCCAAAGCGGCCCTCCCACGTGCTGGCGTCAATCCGATTATTCATTATGGGAAGTGGGTGGTTAGAGGGACTGTCATCACCGCTGCTCAATCCCATGTATAATCAATCAATTCGATTACAATCCCCCAACACCCACCGAGACCGACCGAGACTCACCGTTTGGGTGTCGATGTGCAGGCAGCCCAGCACGGCAGGGTCGCACTCGGACGCCACAGCGCACTTCTTGTTGACCAGCACGCTCTGGCCCCGTGAGTCCACGATGTGCAGCGTGTGGCAAAAGTCCTCCCCTGGAAGCAGATTATGAATAACTTATTACGTCCAGGTGATGAAAATGTTGACATAATACTACAATATGCGATATCTTCCTGAGCCGGTCACAGTAAACGAAGTTTTGATCCCAGAGCAAATTATTTGCTTAACCAGAAAACGCAAAGAGCACATTGGCAAAATGTTCTTTTGTACTAGCTACTGCACTAGGGTCACAAATAAATCAACCCCCTACACTGGTTAAAACAAAGGTGGGATATACCTAGGCACTAAAGCTCCAAAGGCATTACAGGTTTATGTCGAACGAGCCGAACGAGCCTATATGTGATGGCGTTCTGTTCAAAAATGGCATAAACTGATGCAATTTTGTACTTTTTGACTTGCTTACCATTTGCTGACTTCTTATCAGAACCCCATCACATGTACGCTCGTTTCACGCGGAATTTTGCGAGGAATACGACAATGTATCCCAAAATGTATTCGGTTTGCTCATTCAGAAAATAGTTGGGAAAATTTGAAAATACGCACTTTTGCACCCCCAAACCGGGTTTGGCATCCCTGGAAAGATAGGAGGATATCGCACCTTTGTTTTTACTTTGAAGTTTCTGTATAAAATGTTTTAAATTTATCATCTGCTGAAAGGGTATCATTGTCGCCGTACCAGCGAACTTACAGAGGTAACTAACAAAACCCTCCCTGTTAGCGCCATGGTGGGTTTCCTCCGAATTGGAATCAAAAGAATTGTAAAACGTGTGCAGGAGGCTGAGCAGCGCCGGCAGGTTGGGGGCCGGGACGTGCGGGGGCCGTCCTCGTTGGCACTTCCAGACCCACTCGCCAGGCCCTCGTTTGCATTACTATGAATACAGGGCTGCAGCCCCCCCCCCCCACTGTTTCTCTTCCTTCCCCTTCACATCCAGCCTCGCCCCCCTCCTCGCATGCCGTGGCTTAGCCACTCCCAGATCGACAAAAAAGAGTACGGCGACGAGAGTTCACTGCGGTTTCCTGCTGCACTGGTTACGCTTTGAAGAAAGCCGAGAAAAGAAGTTTTTCCCTAACGCTCCTATTAAGCATAGCTAGTAAATGATATGTCTGTAGCAGGCTAGCTTTCGCGCGTATGTATAAATCGTATAAATCGTTATTCACCATTACAGAATCAGCCTTTCCAGCAAAATAAGTTTTTGATTGTCAATACAGTATTAACATTCTAGCTAACACCGCAAAGCTAAAATAAATCGTTAGTCCGCGTACTGTATGCCGCCTGGCAAACGTGAGAGTCGGGAGAGGTCGCTGCCCATCTACTGCAGCACTGTTAGGTAAGCTGCCAGCTGCCACCTTAACGTTTCTGATGGATAATTTGTGTTTAGTGAAGAAGGAAATGTGTGCCTCGGTGTGTGCCATTATGAGCGCGAGCAATTATGTCCCTAGCCCCACAGCCGCAGGCGGGGGACGCCTGGCCAGGAGCGCCCTGCTCCTCATCAAGCTGCCCTGGCCGAGCCCCTGGCCGAGGCCCTGGCTGGAGCCTCATTTCCCCCCCAGTCCCGTCGTGCTTCCGGCCAGGACCCCGGCCAGGACCCCGGCCAGCTGCGGCGGCGAGCTTAATGGGACCCGTCACTGAGACCCTCG